TAGACTAAACTGGGGAGGAAAGGACAATGAAATTATTAGCACGCAATATTTTGCAAATTGCTATTTCATCATCTCGCTAATCCGAAAACACAAATTTGAGTCTTTTTTCCCTTACTAAACTTATAAATTGTCTGCTACAAAAATTTGAATATTTCAAAACATATTCCCTCGTTTGACGTCAATGGATAACCTAAAGCCTATATTGGCTGCATACTGGCATGTAATAATTTATGTGCATGAGCAATGATTATTACATGCACTTTTACAAAAAAAAAAGGCGAGAAATGGCGTCATATGCATGTTTTTATGTCTTCGTAACGTTTTTTTCCCCTCGTAACAAGTATTCCATGGCCATGCAGCAATAATTGTCAACAATAATTTGACACGAAACCTTTACTATCAAGATGCTGGAAAAGAACTAATTAATCAAATGAAGTAATATTTTTCTATGAGTAATCATAATTTTGAGTTTAAGTAACTATTTTCAATTTTCTGTTAAATAATCCCTATTTGGTATTTTTAAATCATTTATCATACGAAATGGTTATTTGAAGATGAGCAAATTAAAGGTTCAATCTGTCTACATCCAGCTTTCCTACATCCTTATCTTACTTTCTTTTTCTCCAAATTCCCTAACTTTAATACTTAAAACTCAAACTTTTTGCAAACTTTTACCGTATGGTCACTTCAACTATTGTGTTCCGCTGTACAAAACACATAATAGGCACATTTAAGCAATGGAATTGGCAATAATTAACAATATAATATGGACAATGACCAAATCAAAGGTTTGAAAAAAAAACGCGTTTGCATTGCTGTTCATCTGTATATGATTTCAATCAGTATAGAATGGATATTTTGGTGCGAACATTTTCTCTCCATATTGGGCACTTTCCTTTTCATCAGAAATATCGACTGCACCAAAGAAGGACTCCCTAAAAGGTACGTTTACATGTTTGAATAATGAAAAAAATAAATATATAGATTGTGAAATATTTTGCGCAAAGGCGAGAAAGAGAAATGGCATAGCGATAGAGGAAAAACAGGTTTCAGAAAGAAAACATAAAAAGTTATGTGGAGTTTACCGCTGAGACTACTTCGTATAGAGTTAGGTACTGTAAGTTGGCTTAAGGTAAGATAACTCATTTGCTCAATAACGTAGGAATCTATTAATATTATGCAGCTACCATTAGCTACATAGAAACAATTTTTTGTAATTTTTTACTATATACAGTAAGAAAGTTTCTTTCTCAACACTCAGCCATAATTAAAGGGAGATTTTTAGTTATTTCATTGAAGAAAAAAATTAAGTAAACATATATATAGTGTAATTATCCTTACTTATAATAAGGACTTGGCATTGTTGGATAAAGCTCGGATAATATCGAACTTGGCATTCGTACACGTTTCCGAGATGATAACAATGCTTCCATCTCAGTGCTTAATTGCTCGCATTGTTCATCGCTAACGGTCAAACCCGATTCATCAGTAATTGTCACCTAGAAGGTCCAATTATGACAAATGACAACCTCAACTATGATAACAATGAATACTAAGAGCAATTCGAAGTGT